GCATTTTGCTACGGTGGTAAAGCCAGTCTTGATTTGATTTCTGATTCATGGAAGGTTTCACAGTCTGAGGTGCCCCAGAAAGTTGAGAGCTTGAGGCTGCTAGAGGAGTTCCAGCAGAGGTGGAGGGAAATGCCATTTAGTGAAAGAGTTTCTTGGGCCGTGGGAGGTTTGGTTCTTACAGCAGGCCTGTTGTTTGTAAGGTTTGGCACTCTCCTACTGCCTCTTTTATAGTGCTAGTAATACAACTCTAAATGTTGATGGGGGATCACCATTGTTAGGTGTTGTTAGTGTAGCTAGGGTGGATCGGTTTTTGTTTTGTTTTTGTTTTTCCTTTTTTGGGCTATTGATATTTTATTTGTTCATGTCTATCGTCTATCGTCTATGCAGCAAAAGGAAAAGCCGTCATCAGCGCCACAAGCTAGCTGCTTTAAAACACTATAAGAAACTTGAAGCCAAGATGAGCCAGAAATCTCCCAGTAGTCCAGGAAATAGGAAAAGCAAGTAAAAGATGAATTTCTCTCTTGTACGGGAAAGTATTTAGTTATGACAGCTTACAGATGGTGTATCAATATATTGTTATAAAAAGTTTATGCCCTTGTTCTTTGGTTGTTGTATGAAAAGTGAATGGTGTATTAGTCGACTAGTATTTGTTCAAAATTTTCGAGTACTTTGTTCCAGTTTTTGAGGCTTTTCTATTAGCAATAAGCATGCAACTACTTTTACCTCATAGAAAATCATAGATCATAGTCGGCCCATATTCAAGAGTCATTCGCAGGCATTGCCGGAGATGGACATATACTCTCCTATAATCTGAGTACCGACGGACGGTCAAATATCTTCTCCCTAATCATCATCATGGCCAGTTCCAAGGAGTTTCAAGATTTTATTTGTGCGAATAGTTGTTTCAGTAAAGGGGGGCAACAAGCTTGAGAACAAAGATATATAATTCTTCACTTTCTCCTATGTGTAGTTCCTCATTGTCTCCCCATGCAACTCATCTTGTTTTTAAGCTTGATAAAGGATTTCATTGGCTTTGGGATGACATCAAATGTCTCCTACATGAAATGTCTTCTTGTCCCCTACAAATGATGTATTGCTAGCTTTTGGCTATTGTTAGGGGAGAAAAGTAAGCAAGATTTTGGTAATATTGAATTAAACTATTTGTTTATAAACAATGCGACTAAAATTGTATACGAAATATTTTGAATCAGTATTTGAAATGGTGAGGCGGAGCTATACCCATGGCTCTAATCCGCGTGCTGCCTGGAATTACACTGATAGGATAAATATGAAGTCATTTGGAAAAAGTGCCCTAAAGAAATCAGTTTAAAAGCTGATCGGATGAGACTTGATAAACACATGCTCGATACGGATTTGCTGAAGAACAGCCACTTGATGTTCACGTCTATCGTCTATCGTCTATGCAGCAAAAGGAAAAGCCGTCACCAGCGCCACAAGCTAGCTGCTTTAAAACACTATAAGAAACTTGAAGCCAAGATGAGCCAGAAATCTCCCAGTAGTCCAGGAAATAGGAAAAGCAAGTAAAAGATGAATTTCTCTCTTGTACGGGAAAGTATTTAGTTATGACAGCTTACAGATGGTGTATCAATATATTGTTATAAAAAGTTTATGCCCTTGTTCTTTGGTTGTTGTATGAAAAGTGAATGGTGTATTAGTCGACTAGTATTTGTTCAAAATTTTCGAGTACTTTGTTCCAGTTTTTGAGGCTTTTCTATTAGCAATAAGCATGCAACTACTTTTACCTCATAGAAAATCATAGATCATAGTCGGCCCATATTCAAGAGTCATTCGCAGGCATTGCCGGAGATGGACATATACTCTCCTATAATCTGAGTACCGACGGACGGTCAAATATCTCCCTAATCATCATCATGGACAGTTCCAAGGAGTTTCAAGATTTTATTTGTGCGAATAGTTGTTTCAGTAAAGGGGAGCAACAAGGTTTGAGAACGAAGATATATAATTCTTCACTTTCTCCCATGTATAGTTCCTCATTGTCTCCCCATGCAACTCATCTTGTTTTAAAGCTTGATAAAGGATTTCATTGGCTTTAGGATGACATCAAATGTCTCCTACATGAAATGTCTTCTTGTCCCCTACAAATGATGTATTGCTAGCTTTTGGCTATTGTTAGGGGAGAAAAGTAAGCAAGATTTTGGTAATATTGAATTAAACTATTTGTTTATAAACAATGCGACTGAAATTGTATACGAAATATTTTGAATCAGTATTTGAATTGGTGAGGCGGAGCTATTCCCATGGCTCTAATCCGCGTGCTGCCTGGAATTACACTGATAGGATAAAAATGAAGTCATTTGGAAAAAGTGCCCTCAAGAAATCAGTTTAAAAGCTGATCGGATGAGACTTGATAAACACAGGCTAAACACAGGCTCGATACGGATTTGCTGAAGAACAGCCACTTGAGAGTTGAGAATTCACCATCTTACATTACACACGAAAAATACCTTTTAACTGTATAACAAAATGGTTATGACCATCTTACCATGAATTCGATTAAAGGATGAACTGTTTGTTAAAGATGATCACTCCACATACAAGGACAAAACAAGTAAATAAAGACGGGGTATACATATGACTCTTTAAGACAGGAAAATCCACACCACATTGATGAAACCATAATATAAATGCTTCATTTCTTCTTGATGTTATCACAGTTAGTCTTCAATATCCTCAATCTAGATGTTCCATCTGCAAAACAAGGTGAAAGATTGAAGAACGCCCACAAAACATTGTAGGAAGGACACCCAAAAGTTATAAGAAATGCTTTGGCATGACAATGCATCAGCGAAGCAGCAAACTTTATCAGAGCATTTTGTGCTAATAAACAAGATAGTTGGTGATGGCTATAGACAAAGTAAACATTTTACAATGACATACCTTCCAAAGACCATCATTAAGATAATGCATGTTGTCAACTCCAATTCCCTTGTTGATATCTCTTCTGCAAGCCAAGCAGAGGACTCAACTTCTTAATTAACGAAATCAGCAACTAATAACTAAACTGTTTATGATACAATTATAACTTCACCATAGTACTAACTTCTACCACCCAAGTTTACGAAGAACAAGGGAAGGAACTTATAAAAGCTCCCAACAGACAGGGCATGGAATACAATATAAGCACCAATAAACTTTCCCCTAAGGTTTGCATCTGTGCTATATTGACCATTCATCGCACTGAAGCCAACAATGAAACATTTATGAATTTCTTTAATTTTTTTAATTTGCAAGCTTTATGTTCTGAGGTCGGTGAAAAGTTAGGCTCTACGTGCTATATTGACCATTCATTGCACTGAAGCCAATACAATCTAGATGTTCCATCTGCAAAACAAGGGGAAAGATTGAAGAACGCCCACAAAACACTGTAGGAAGGACACCCAAAAGTTATAAGAAATGCTTTGGCATGACAATGCATCAGCGAAGTCTTTATCAGAGCATTTCGTGCTAATAAATAAGATAATTGGTGATGGCTATAGACAAAGTAAACATTTTACAATGACATACCTTCCAAAGACCATCATTAAGATAATGCATGTTGTCAACTCCAATTCCCTTGTTGATATCTCTTCTGCAAGCCAAGCAGAGGACTCAACTTCTTAATTAACGCAATCAGCAACTAATAACTAAGCTGGCTTTGATACAATTATAACTTCACCATAGTATGAACTTCTACCACCCAAGTTTACAAAGAACAAGGGAAGGAACTTATAAAAGCTCCCAATAGACATGGCATGGAATACAATATGAGCACCAATAAACCTTCCCCTAAGGTTTGTATCTGTGCTATATTGACCATTCATCGCAATGAAGCCAACAATGAAACATTCATGAATTTCTTTAATTTTTTTAATTTGCAAGCTTTATGTTTTGAGGTCAGTGAAAAGTTAGGCTCTACGTAGCATATAGCTTGTCCAATGAAACATTTATGAATTTCTTTAATTTTTTTAATTTGCAAGCTTTATGTTCTGAGGTCGGTGAAAAGTTAGGCTCTACGTAGCATATAGCTTGTCCTCAATACTCCAAGGGTACCCCAGGCACTAAGCTATGAGAAGCAACTATATTTCTTCAACTAAAAAAACTTACATTTCTTTTGCTGACATTTTTGTGAAGCCAATGGCAAGAGCATGTTGCTTTCCTTCTGCCATTATTGCCTGAGAGTATTCAGTTTCACAGATAAGGCAATTATTTAAATTAACTCAACATAATATCTCAACAAAAAATTTTGTTTTAACATGAGTTTGCCATTACACTAATCATTAAAAAAAGGAAATAAAACTTATACCACAGGAGTCTCTGCAGCCACTGTGTCATCCAAAGCACCACCGGGAGAAGTCATAAAATATAATAACGAGAAACGACATATTGGTGGTTAAGAAATTCTTACATTGATGAAGGAGCCTTAGGGTAGGCATATATGGTCCATCACGAATGTTGAAAAATAGTGGCACATTGTTTAGCACAACTAAATTTAGATGGTTCTGACTGCAAAACGTGGAGGAGGTAGGGGACAATGTTAAATATACAGGATTACACATCAAGAAATGAATACCTGAGTTAGAAGTAAAACCACAGAAGCAGGAGCAACAGAGCAACAAACCATTTAGCCACAATTAGAGGAGATTTCTTTGGTAGCAAATCTTCCAATGCTTGTTCGAGTCCAGGGTACTGCAATTGAATTTAATTTTGTGTTAAAGACATACGTAATGCGTATTTAAAAGCATAAGCTAAATCCCTATAAATCTCTTACCTCATCGGCAATACTTTGGCGAATTTTGCGCTGGACAGATGCCTTAACTTGGTTTTGTGCGGACACCTCTTCAGAGGAAAATCTATAACATAGCACATATTATGGGTAATGGAGAAACGTTTTGGCTGATGTATATATGCAATCATATAACAAAATATTTCCCTTAACATCGAAGACTTTGCAATTACAAACAGCTAGCACAAAGAAGACAAATTAATGAGAACCCTGACCATCCTCTCCAAATAATTAACCTCAAAATAAGTGACCTTTCAAGATTCACTATATAACAATATCTCATATACAGCAAAAAAAATCAACTTTGATGAGAAAGCTGAAGCTTTAGAAACCATATGCAACCATTTCATGGTGGCTTAAAGCACAGAGAAGTAACGGCATCATTCAAACGCATACTCGCATCAAACCAAAATACAATGAAATTCAAGGCATAAATCGAAAACCAAAACCCACATAAAAACATAATCAACAATACCAAATAAAAACAATCTGATTGTATTTTAATCGAACTAAACCAAACCCAGGAATCATATGTCTCAAATATCAACAAAGTAAACAAACAAAAGACATATACTTGGAAATACACACCCACATACACAATAATATCGACGAACACATTTATATGCGTGTGCGCGCTCGTGTACAAAGCTTACTTTTTGAACATTCTGGAAAAATGGAGGCAAGAGAGAATCTAAGATCTTCAAGAGCAAGCAGAGAAAACCCTTTAAAACTGGCGTTAAGGTCGAATAATACTGAAACTGGTATGGGATCAGTTAAGCTCAGCCACGCTCTATAGCCCACCGGTGTTAACTGTGTTGAGCCACTTTTTCGGCCTTTTCACAGTGGGCTGGCCTGGAAGTAACAACATGGTCT